GGTTGAGGTGGTGTATATTGTTGTTGTTGTGGTGGTACATATTGTTTTGGTGGTACATACAAAGTTGGTCTTGGTATTTGCTGTAGATTGTTATTATTATTATTATTATATTTATTTACAAGTGGTGGGGAAGGTCTATGTGGTGCAGTATTATTATTGGTTGTTGTGGTATTTATTGGTTGTAATGATTGTACAGGATTATTAAAATTAATTGGTTGTTGAAGTAAGAATGAAGAATCATTATGATTTGAATTTAAAGATTGTAGACAATTATTGAATGAAAATTGTATATTAATTAATGGTATATCGAATTGATTGACCCTAGACTCAAAGAGATGTTGAACATCTTTGAAAATTTGATTCTTTAAAGCTTGGTATTCTTGTGATGACGATTCTATGTTTGTATTACTATCTAAACTTTCAATCTTTGATTTAATCTGTTCAATTTGATTACAGTAATCATTTAATGATTGAAAATGACTAGATTGGTTATATTCCCATTCTTCAAATGTCTTATGAACATTCATTAAAATTTGATTACTATAATTTCCTAATGGATGCTCCGTCTCATATCCACTACTATGATAATAATTTGATAAATTATTTAAAAAACTATTTGAATTTAAATAAATATCTAAATAAATTTAAAAGTTGTAATAAATTTAATATTAAATAATAATAATAATAATAATAATAATAATAATAATAATAATAATAATAATAATAATAATAATAATAATAATAATAATAATAATAATAATAATAATAATAATAATAATGTTTATTTTTTACTTATTTAGAAATTACCTTTCATTGTATTATTATTATAATTTAATGAATTATAAATTGTTAATATATTTTGGGATAATTTAAGGAATTCATTTTTTAATGTTTCATAGTTGTTATCAACTATTTTATTATTACTGTTTCCAAATTTGGTAGGAGCTGTATTTCTTATCATTTTTTTATTTCTATTATATACTATTTTTTTAAAATATAAATTTTTTTTTTTTTTTTTTTTTTTTTTGCCACATTAAAAATATTAAAAAAAAAAAATTAAAAAAAAAATAAAAATAAAAATGATATTAAAAATGGTTTTTTTTATATGAAAATATCTTTCAAAAAAAACGATTGAGATCTCTTTTTGTTTTTTTTTTTTTTAATTTATTTTTTTTTTAATTTTTTTAATTTTTTTTTTTTAATTTTATTGGCATGAAAAACTATCTGTAACCTTTGATCAATAGCTCTTGTGGTTGTTTGTAACTGTTTCACTTTAATAACTGAACCTCACATTTCAATTTTTTCATTTAGTTTATTTAATTCAAAGCAATATTTATTAATAATTTGAAATTCACTTATTAAACTCAATATAATTGAAATATAATTGTAAATTGGTGGGATTGGTGTCCTTTTTGATCCAACAACAAAATAGGAAACAAATTCAAAAAAAGAGAGAGGCAGGAATCATTGTCAGAAGTTTTTAATTTTTAAAAATTAAAGTAAAATTGTTTAAACTATTATCTTTTTTTAAAAATATATTTATTTTTGGGGGTTTATTTTAATGGTTATTATTTATATTATTATCAAATGCAGTTGGTAAAGGTCTTGCAAATGATTGTACTGGTGTTTGTTGTTGAGTTAATGATGATGATCTTGGTCTTGTTGGTGGTTGTTCTTGTTGAAATATTGGTGGTTGTGGTCTTGGTGGTTGATAAGTAGAGGATGTTGGTGATAATTGTACAGGTGGTCTAGGTTTTGGGGGTAAATGAGATGATTGTTGTTGTTGTTGTTGTTGTGTTTGATGTAAATTTGGAGATGAATTTGATGGTGACAAAGGTTGGTATGGTTGTTGTTGTAGGTTTGGAGTTGAAGTTGATGGGGATAAAGGAGGTTTATTAACATTACTGGCTACAAAACCTTTTTGAATGCTTTTATGTGGTACAGGTCTTAATGGCTGAAAAATAACACCACTATCGCTATCTATTGATGATGAATTACTATTACTATTTGGATTATGAGGTAAAACTTGTCTACCCATTATTGGTGGTGGGTTTTGAGGTGGTGGTGCACTTGGTAATTGTTCAACAACTGGTGCTGTTGGAACTGGTGCTGATCTTAATGGTAGTTGTTGAGTTGTTGTTGATGATGTTGATGTTGGTGGTGGTGGTATTGGAGAAGATGATGGTCTTGCTAATTGCTTTAAAGGTGATGGTTGTTGTGGTAATGGTGTTGACTGTCTTGTATATTCTCTTGAACCTGGTAATTTTTGTAAATTTTTTGGTGGTGCAGCATGTGTAACCTCTGTTTTTACAGGTTTAGATAAAAACATAGTTGGACTTGAGAATGTTGATGCTGTATTAACTCTTTGTTGTGGTGGTTGTTGTTGTTGTTGTTGTTGTTGTTGTTGTTGTTGTTGTTGTTGTTGTTGTTGTTGTTGTTGTTGTTGTTGTTGTTGTTGTGATTGAGGTGGAATGCCAACACGTGTCATAATTTCTGGTGTACTATTATTACTATTGTTATTATTATTATTTGCAGTATTAATTGCAATTGTGTTATCAGGTGATAAAGAAATGACAGGATTTGCAACCTCTATTGGTTGTTGTAATTGTTCGGCACCATTTGTTTCATGAATTGAATTTAAACATTGATATAGACTTGGTAAAGAGAATTGGGTATTAATTAAAGGTATGTCGAATCTTGAAACTCTTGCTTCGAATTGATTTGAGACATCTCTGAAAACCTCTTCTTTTAATTGAATGTATTCATCTATGTTTTGATTGGATAGTTCAAATGATAGTTGATCGACTCTATCGATTTTTTTCTTTACTATATTTAAATCGTTACAATATTCACCCAACATCTCAAAGTTTGGTGTTTGATTATCCATCCAATCTTTAAAACTCTCATCTGCCATCATTAAAACACCATTACCATATTTCGATAATGGATGTTCGTTACCAAATAATTTCGAAACGTTATTCATAAAACTATTTGAATTTAAATAAATATCTATTGTTTTTTTTATTCACAAAAAAAAAAAAAAAAAAAAAAAAAAAAAAAAATTAATAATTTATTTATAAATATTAAGAAAACTATTATATAATGATAATACTATACCTTTTATTGAATTACAATATAGATTTAAAGAATTATATATGCTGTGAACTAGTTCTGATAAATTATTATATTCATTTTTTATTTGGTCATAATTTTGGTCAATAGCATAATTAATAAATTGTTGTTGTTCTTGGTGTCCACTGTAATAATTATTATCGAGTTGTTGTTGATGTTGATGATGGTGATTATTGTGTAATGCTGGTGATGAAACACTACTACTTCTACGATGGTGATGATGATGATGTGACATTTTAAATTTTATTCTTGAATTTTTTTTATTTTTTTTTAAATTTTTTTTAATTCAAAAAAAAAAAAATATTTTATTTTATTTTTCACTTTAGGTTTATAATGTTTTTATTCTTTTTTAAATTTTAAAACTTTTGTTAAAATATTGTTTTATTTGCTTTTAAAAAAAAAAAAAAAAAATATAAAAAAAAAAATAAATGTGTGTTGAAAGAAAAAAAAATTTTTAAAGAATTTTTATTTTTTTTCTTGAAAAAAAAAAAACAATTGTTATGATTGCGTAATATTCCTTTGTTTTCAAGAAAAAAAAAATCCTGGCCTTTTAAAAAAAAAACATCGTAAAAAAGATTTAACGGGTTTCAGCCCTCACAGAAAAAAAAAAAAAACTTACCATAAGTGGTTTAACAAATATTATATTTTTTTTATATTATTTTTTACCACAATGCTTTTATTCTTTATCTTTTTAATTTTTAATTTTTTTAATTTAACTAATCATTTTTTTTTTTTTTTAAAAAAAAATATTTTAATTTTTTTTTTTTTTTTTTTTTAATTTTTTTTTTTGTTTTTTTTGTTTTTTTTTTTATTTGAATTCGCAATTTTATTTTAATTAATTAAAATTTTTTTTAAAAAATAAAAAAAAAAAAAAAAAAAAAAAAAGAAGCAACCACTCTGGTAAATTTATTATATACAAATTACTTTTTTATTTTTTATTTTTTACTTTATTATAAGTTAAATGATTATTTTAGTAGTTTCATAGTCTTTTGATAATTTTAAAAATAACTTATATCATCATCCTTTGTTTTGCCATCTTGAACAGAAACTAAACTAGCTGAACCAGAAAATGGTTTATAAATTCTAAGATGAGCAAAACCATTTTCTGTTCTTACTTTAACAAAATAGTTTGTACCATTTACTAGTTGAGTTTTATAACTTATTGCTTTAAGATGAGAAATATTGGTCCCTAGTTTGGTTTGGATTGAAAGTTTGACACTATTTACAATATCCTCAACTGTTTTATCTGCTTGGTGTGTAGCACCAATACCGCCAACTTTTGTCATTTTTTATTTATATATTTTTTTTTTTTTTTTTTTATTTGCAAAGAAATTATTTTGGGTTACAAATATTTTATAAATTAAAAATGTGAATGAAAAAAAAAAAAAAAGGAAACCAAAATTCAAAAAATTATAAAAAAAAATTAAAAAAAATTAATTTTTTTTTTTTTTTTTCTTTTATTAACTTTTTTTTTGGAACCACATCTCAATAATTTTTTTTATTGAAATAATTCACAATTTTATTTATCTATATCTTCTCTTTTGATCTAATTAACTGTTTTAACAATAATATCTTTTATTTTAAATATGATAACCTTGAGTTTATAACCCAGGCCATATTAATAAATTGATAGAAAGATCAGCGAGTTCAACCAAAACGAGAAAGTTTCAATATGCCATAACATTTGAGACCAACACAAATTGCAACTCCACCAAGGAAAACATCCAGAGAAATATCAACAGGATTACGGAGTTAAGCAAGAACATAATCATTACAAACCAAAAATCAAAACTCAAGAAATTCAACAAATCTAGTGAGTCAAACTAAGGAAAACAAAATTTCAAATGCTTTAAATGCGGGAGGAATGGTCATTATGCAAACAAGTGCAATCAGGAAATAAATACTATAACTGAGCAAGTATCATTTCACATCAAACAAACAAGAAGAATTAAAAAGAGTTAGTTTATTGGCTCTTGTTGGTTGATCATTGATTTTTAATACTGCGGTTGTTCAGTTATAGTTTTTATTTCCTCGTTACACTTGTTTGCATAATGACCATTCTTCCTGCATTAAAGATAATGAAAGCATGTGTAGATATTTGCAATGAGAAATTAAGCTCAGGTAAGAATCAGTTAATATCACTGGAAAAGGTGGAAAGAAATAAATTATTTCCCGAATTTTTTTAAAATAAAAACTCGAAAATGTGCCATTTTTTATTTCGCGAAATAAATTTATTTCATTTAATTCGGGAAATAAAAAGTAATTCTCAATGTGTTGTTTTTATGTATAAAAAAAAAAAATATTTAAAAAAAAAAATTAAAAAAAATCAAGTGAAATAAAAGAAGAAACTTGATGTAGCCTTCCAAAGAAATTAAACCATAAGAAATTGCAAAAGTAAAAATCGAAATTAGGTAATTTTTTTTTTTTTTTAATTTTGTAGTATAATTTATTACATATGGGCTTAATTTCACTACAAATCAAAAATATATGTATCAGATTAGATTTTTTTTTTTTAAATTGATTAGATTTTAAATTAGCCCAGATTTCGACAGCTGTGATAGAACCAGTAACATAATGTATGTCAATTAATTTCGAACATGGAGGCTGTGTTATTCAGTGTGAAACCACTATGCTAAGCCTCCCACATATTATTCAGTGTGAAACCACTACGCTAAGCCTCCATAGATTATATTACTGGTTCTAACACAGAAATGTGATAATTCGAACAAGATTATCTTTTAACATCGTAGAACCATTACAACAAAAGGGAATATTCGATATTTATTCATCTCAAGTGACCTTATTAAACCTCCTAATATCCTTTATAGTAGTTCATTACAAGAAAACTCATAAATGGTTTTATAGTGTAATTGGTTAGCACCCAGGACTTTGAATCCTGTAATCTGAGTTCGAGTCTCAGTAGAACCAGTTTTATATTAAATCAAAACCGAGGTCGTGTGTTCGAGTCTTTCCGATCTCCTAAAAAGTAAGAGATGTGAAAACCCACAACCAATACATCGAAAAAGATGGAATTTAAAAATTTTGTTCGTCTAAATTCAAAAGAAAAGCCAATATGAATGGATTTTAAAAAGTTAATTATGATTTATACAGACCCTTTGCATACAACAATGTAATAGCATTAGTCATGCATCACATATGGATATGGATTTGTAATCAAATTTATGGTGACAAAGCGCTTCAAGATACCAATTTGGATTTTGAATTGTTATCAAACAAATGGCACAAACTAGCATCACTAGAATATATTAAACTATTAAAAGACTACAAGCTATCAGCAGCCAAAGATCCAGAAATCTTTTGCGAAAAAAACTCATATTACAGTAAAATGAAAAAAATCAAAAAAAGAATAGCAATCAAATACTGTATCCTTAGAAAATCACTTCCTAATAATGTGATGGTAGACTTTTTCATATAAAATAAAATTTCATAGAGAAAATAACAATCACTTAAAAAATCATATAAAAAAAAAAATAAAAACCAAATAAATAAATAAACTTTATTATTGTTGAGACTAAGGTCTTACAATAATCATTAATATTAAAAAAAAAAAAAAAAAAAAAAAAAAAAAAAAAAACGTTCCAGGTAGATTCATCTTGGATAACATCTTTACTATCAATGAAGTGATATCATACTGTAATCAAAAGAAAATAGGCGGAATAATAACATTCTACGATTTCGAAAAGGCTTTTAAACATTAAAAAAAAAATAGAAACACTGTGAATAATTTAGATATGACTATGATATTTTGGTTCATTTTGCCAATTATCAGTTGCTCCATCTAAAAATGTAATCTTTAATTTTGAAAGTTGTTCATGAGTAATACCCTCTATTGTGGTAACATTAACAGCATAAAATGGAGCATTTGGGACGCCTTCCATTTTAATAAGAGAATATGTATTAACTCCACAACCTTTGCAAAAGTAGTTATCATTTACTTTTGAACCATTTAAATAATTTCCTTGATCATTTTCACCTTTTAATAATTTGAAATCTTTTGGACAAACGATGATTTCCCAAAATCTAACTTTAAGACAATAAGCTTTTTTTTATATTTTTTTTTAATATTTTTTTTGTTTATTTTAATACCAAATCATAATGATAATCACTTACAACAATTGCATCTTAAAGTTTCAGTGTTTAATAATTCAGTTTCAAGTTTACAATGGAATCTAACATTACCACAATGGCATGATCCAAAAAATTCTTTAGTATTTTCATTAATTTCCATTTTTAAATATATAAGTTACACTTTATTTTTTAAGAGGAGTTGTTAATGAATTTTTTAGTGTGAAAAATGGTGAAAAAAAATAATTGATTTAAAAAAAATATTTTTTTGTTTTTCTTAAAAATCTTTTTTAGGCTTACAAAAGTGATTTTTTTTTATTTTATTTTTTTTAATTTATCCGAAATACCGAAAAGTCACTATTATTTACAAGAAATTTTATTTTTATTCGAAATATAATTAGTTTATCTGAAAAACAATTAGATTTTTATGATATTGCTAAAAAATGTTAACAGATCTGTTTGTGTCTCAACTGTGTTATTTAAGATGGTAATAAAGGGTAAGTTTTAATAATAACTAAAATAAAAAAAATAAAAAAATAAAGTATATTCTATTACAAATTTTTAATTAATTTATTTATTTGAAGAAAAAGATTCATAATCTTCATCTTCAAAATTATCTCTATTATCATTATCGTCACTATCATCTCTGCTAGTTCTTGTGCTTCTATTTTCATAACCGCTATAATCATCGTCCTCATTATTACTATTATTATTACTATTACCATCATCACCATTTTCACTCTCATCTGGGTGATATTCCTCTTCTTCATCTTCTAATTCCAATGGATATCTTAAAATTGCTGCAACCCCTGATAATTTAGAAAGTTCTAATAAAAATAAAAACATGAAAATTTGTAAACATTTGAGTAAAAAATAATAACAATAATAAATAAATAAATAAATAAATATTTTTATACATACGTTCACCAGTTACATGTAAACCAGAAAATAATTTAACATCTCCTTTATTATCTTTTACGGATTGAACCAAATCTACATATTTTTTTCTAGTTTTTACATCTTTACCACGAAACAATTCATCGGTTACCAAGAGAGTTTCAATGGCCAATCTTTCATTTGCCTTCTTAACATGTTCAAATCCATAGAAAGCTCTATTTGGATCTTTCTTCAACATATCATAAAAATCATTGAGTATTTTAACCTCACTAGCTGCTTTTGTATTTGATAATTGTTGAACGATTGATTGATCTGATAAAACCTCTTTCAATGAGTATCTGTGTCCTGATGATGAATGTGTTAAAATAAATTTTGATTTATTTTGTCTAAATACTTTATACAAATCATTCTTTGATGATTGATCCATCATATATTGAAAGAATTTATCCTAATTAATTAATAATAAAATTATTTAATATCATATTAATATTTAAGTATATTGTTTTTGTTGTTGTTGTTGTGTTGCTGTTATATATATTTACTTTAACGAAAGCAGGTGATGCAATTATAAAACATTTTACAACATCGAAATTAATATTTCTTGACATTGATTGTAAAATTGTATTGAAAAAGTTTTCTAAACCTTTTTGATGATTATCAGAGGTTGATCTACCTTTACGTGGTACTGGTACCTCAATTCTACTTTTAACCACTGTCATTGCCGATGTAATTAAACAGAGGTTTGCTAAACCTTCGTTCATAATTAATGCAGCTACATCAGCACGTTGACCAATATCAGTGGCATTCTTTACCAACTCTAATGAGATCATATCCCATTCTTGTTTTTGTAATTGAAACTCTCTATTCATCTCTAAATCTATAGTATGAAATGATCCAAGCTTAACAAACTTATTCTCAACACATGTAGATCCACTGACACGAAGTAATGATGATTCATTGTCATGATCGATTTTAGTGACGAGAATTGTTATCTTTAGTTTTTGTCTCTCACTTGTTACACTACCTGTTGCTGTCTCTTTTTGAATCTTTCTAACTGTTGAACTTGTTAATTGATCTCCTACACTTATTAAATTATAACAATGCCATAAATCCTCCTCTTCTTCTAATTGTAATTTTACATAACCTGATAAATCCTTTTCAATATATTTTTTAATTAATTTCATTTTTTTTTTTTTTTTACTTTAAAAAAATTTGTTTGTTTTTTTTTTTTTTTTTTTTATAATAAAATTATTTGCATATTATTGTTTTTTTTTTTTAATTTGTTCTACTTTTTATTGTATAAATTCATAAAAAAATAAATTTTTAAAATTATTTTTGATATTTGTATTGAAATAATAATGAAAAAAAAAAAAAAAAAAAAAATAAGAAAAAAAAAAGCGAAAAAAAAAAAAAAATGAAAATAAAAAAAAAATTAATAAAAAAAAAAAAAATAAAAAAAAATAAATAAAATAAAATAAAATAAAATAAAAAAATTAAATATATTTTGTGGTTCATGCTTCATAGGTAATTAATTATATTTTTTTTGTTTTTTTTTTTTTTTTTCAGGATGTTAATTAAAAAAATTTCGGGACAAATTTACAATTTTATCTTCAAATACTCAATTTTTTTAAATTTTTCAATAACTACTAAATATATGTGCAATATTATTCAACACTTTAATGAAATAGTATTTTTAAAAAAATAATAATAAAAACCTCTTTTGCCCATAAAGTTAATTAAAATATTGTTTTATGTTTAATATTTTTTTTATTTTGTTTTGTTGTTTTTTTTAATATTATCGTTATTACTGGTTTTAGTAAGGACTGTTACTATCATCTGTACTTCTATTGAAAAATGATCTTTGTATATTGTTATTATTAATATTATTAATATTATTATTATTATTATTATTATTATTATTATTATTATTATTATTATTATTATTATTATTATTATTATTAGCACCAGCATGAATTTGTGCATTTAATTCATCATTTGTTTTCTTTTCAAAAGCTCTTAAACTTTCCATATCCATACCAAACCATTGATCCATCCAACAGAATACCTGTCTA